TTAATTCATTTAATTTATAGGCACTACACATTATGTAGAAAAATATCAACTCTAAGACTGTTGCTTTATTTCCTGGGACTAAATTTATCCATCCCATGTAGGGCTTTGGCCTGCCTCACTACTTCCTTCCACTCAGACCTAACTAACCTAGTGCTTTTCTTTTCCATGCTTGAATTTTCAGTTGTTATAGATCTTTTTCCACATCATCCATCCATCTAAGCCTAGGTCTGCCTTTGAGCCTTTTTCCTCTGGGGTATTGGTGATGCACCCTCTTCACTCCTCTATCATTTGGCATTCTTCTCTAAGTGTCCTGCCCAGGGTAGCCTGACTCTTTTTATTTCTGCTAATATCGTGGGATCCTGATATAGACTGTACAATTCATGGTTGGTTCGTATTCTCCATCGATATTCATCCTTTGTTGGTCCATATATTTTCCTTAGAACTTTCCTCTCCCATGTGTTTAATAGGTTTTCTGCTGTTTTTGTTAGGGTCCAAGTTTCACTTGCATATGTTACAACTGGTCTGATTACAGTTTTATAAATACCGTAGTTTTCTTTGTTTCTCTTGTAATGTTTTTACTTTTGAGTATTTTCTGACTACTGAAGTATGCCCTGTTTCCGGCTGATATTCTTTCTTTTTTTTCTGTTAGTACCAGTAATTCATTTCTTTCATTTAATAAAAATCCTAGGTACCGGTACCGGTATTTGAATTGATTTACTTTTTCAAAAGTCTGGTTTCTAATTTTAATTGCTTCATCTGTTTGTTCTTCTCTTATCATGTTCATATATTTTGTTTATTTTGGTTGTTAGCTTCCAGCCCCGCTTGTAGTGATGCGTCTTCTAATTCAATAAAGGATTTTGATATGTCTTTAATTTTAATACTTTTCCCTAGCAGTGCTATGTCATCATCATATGCAAGATACTGAAGTGGTTGGTTGTAGAGCGTGCCCATTGGTTGTGGGTCTTGGGTTTCCCTCAGAAAGTACCGGTATCCTGTTATTGTTCCTCGAGTGTCAATGTGTATGTTTAAATTTAACAAGTGTTCCTCGAGTGTCAATGTGTATGTTTAAATTTAACAATGACTTTATCAGGTCAAGGAAGAGCTCTTCAGGGAAGCAGGTCTTCCTGGATTTCAGGACTATGACATGCTTTTTATTTCTGGTGATAAAAGGATCAACACAGTGGATAGTGATGTCATCACAGACTATTTTGACTACTTGTGTGAGGACTATCACATAGAGTTCCATCTCAGGTAGGTTTAATGGCCGATGTACACAAGTATGTAATGCCGGGTCTGCATTTTTATACAGATAATATGTAATGACATTGTGCTTTACGTTTGTCATAGCAACTGTTTGATCATCATACCATTATAAAATGGCAGGTGTGAAGTATAAATATGTCACATAATATAATTTTCTATAAAAAGTTTTTGTTATTGTGAAAAGTGCTGCAAACATGTGGGAGGAAGACCTACATTGTTCATTTGGAAGACCTACATCATTCGTTAGGAATACCTACATCGTTCGTTAGGAATACCTACATCATTCATTTATTTGTTTATTGTCACCTTGTCACTACTTTCATTTTGGTGGACTAGATCTCTGTTTGTAAGCCCCATATTAATAGATTAACATTAATTTTTTTAAATTTAATAGAGCTCTTCATTGGTTTTTCTTTTTGAAAGTTTTCCTTCTTTTTTTAAAGGTTAATTTTAAATGATTAAAAGACTTCTTCACTTGACATTTATAAAGTTGTCATATTTTAGATTACCTTAACTGTAATGGAATATTTCCTTGTTAAAAAAATAAAGTCTAATGATTAAATTGTTAAACTCCATTTATTTCTCTTAACAGAAATGAAAGTCACAGGAAATAAAGAAATAATAAGGAGCATTTCTGAAGTATTTCAAGAGAATTATGGATAAATTTGTGATATTTTATTTTATTTCAGAAAATGGTTGAGATATGGAAAATAAAATTGTATTTATTTCTAAGCTCTTCATAATTTATTTTGAGCTTTGTTATAATGAAATGTGTTAAAGAATTTATTTCTTTAAAATGTTATTTTTGTTCTGGTAATACTTAATAATTAATCTCTAAAATTCAATCAAGAAACTTATGGGGAATCAAAGATTTTATGTACTTAATTGAAATAAAAAAATTTAATGCTAAATAAAACTCATATTCATAGTTCTTTAATCAGACAAACAATTATTAGGTCAGGTGACCAGACCTAGAATTAGGTCAGGTGCAAGGATGCAGACTTCGCAGGACTAAATCCCTAACCTGGAGATGGTTCCCTACACAGCAAATCGCCTCTCTCCACGCCGCTGGATAACCCAAAGGAGAAACCTATGTGGATGATATGATGCAGCTTTTGGCACTAGTGGTGTGGCAGGATATGTCGGAATGTTTCCTTGTGTCAATGTTATCCACCTATGGGTTAATGTTTTCCGCCTATGGGACTCCACCTCTTGGTTTGAATTCAAAGTTTCCTTCTCTAAGAAGAGTTGCCATCCATGGTTATTGGGTACCATCCACCTGGGGTGCTGGTGATGTTTTTGCTTTGCTGGGGATTGAACTCCAGACTATGAACTAGAGATTTACTCAGTTTAGACCTCTCGGTAACCCAGCAGCCATAATAACAATTAACATTTCCAAAAAAGACAGGATGTTGGGGGGGGGGGGGGTTCAACTTAAAAAAAAATTTATTTATTTTTGAAAAAGGTCCTTTAAAAAGCTGCTCCTGTAAGAGTACTGACTCTTGACTATCAAACATGTTCCATTCAATAATGCATTTTTTACATCGGGCCGTCCATAAAGTACATCACACTATTTTTGCCCATTTCCCCCCCCCCCCTCTCCCCAAGTCACAAATCTGGGACCCCCTCCCCTCTAAAGTACGTCACACTTTCGAACAATTTTTTATTTAACACCTAATTCAAATTTAATCTAAAACACACTTCACTATTAAACTATATTAAAATATAAAATTTCCACTTAAAATTATTTCACATTATTAAAATGTCTTTAGTAGAATAGTTAATTGTCAACAGTTGTCACAGTTATTCATTGAAGCAGTAACTCAATCTAGATTAAACTTGAAAACAAAACTTGAAAAAATTAGACAATTATTTAATACACATCATTTATCTGCTGCTTTTTCATTTACAATAGGTGAGGTCAAGTTTTAGATAATCTTCCAATTATGCAATCTTTTTTACACAGGATTAGAAGTAGATTTGCGAAACTTGACCTCACCCAGTGATTAAATAATATAAAGGACAGTGACATAATTATGCAGCGAACATCATAGAAATAATAATACTTCAGGCATGATGAAAGCAAGGCTTCGCAACAGCATACTAGCGCTCCTAGCGAGAGGAATTGTGAACAACACATTCAGGAGATACGCATTTCATGCTATTTTGACATAAAACTAATTCGAAAGTTACACAAAATTTTTGAAAATTATTTTTAAAGCTATTAAATTCTACTAAAAAATAAATTAGAAATTAAATTTAAAAAAATAAATGTGTGACGTCACACATGTCCTTAACCCCCCCCCCCTTGTCACAAACTGTCACACTTTCTTACACCCCCCCCCCTCTGGAGCGTAACTTACTTTATGGACGGCCCCCATCTTACATTGAATTTTCATATAGACGTGTTGAAAAATATACAGACAGTTTGACTTTCTTTATTCAAATAGTTCCATTTAAATTTTTCAGCACCCTGGAAACAATTATTTTGTTGTTTTTTTGGGGGGGTTATTTTTTATAACAATAAAACTATATACTTTATAAAACAATAAAATTAAAACAAATAATTTTCAATCAATAAAACATACCGTAATCTCATTGTGACATAAACGATTTAAAAAAAATATAATCAACAATTAGCCAAATGGCAAACGGATTTGAACCCCCAGCTACTACTGCTTATCATTTCATAAACCACGATGTTAATTACAGGTACCGGTAATTACAATATCTTGGCACGATCTTGGTTAAAAAGTAATAAGGCCTATGGCGTAAAAATGTTCAACGTTTGTTTGTTGTTTTTATTATCATTATTTTTAATGCACATCATTCTCGTGAGCTTGTTGTACTTTTGCCTTGTATCTATGGCTACTGTGAGATCCATGTAGTAATAAGGTGAATTTTTGTGACCTCTACTTTTCGGTTTTCTGTCCCCTACATTCAAATTCCCACAGCAAAATTTCAAGCATCTGTTCCGAGGGCTGTAGGGTCACGTGACGACGCTACTTACTGTAAAAGTTACACTCACTAAAAGCAAACATTGCCATGTCTCTGTATCAATGTTAATAGTTTTAAAATGAGCGAGACAAAGTATGAGAAAACCTGAAAAAACGGAGGCAACCAAACAACGAACGTTTCGGCAAGAAACATCATCAGTGAAATACGACATGTACATTTTTGACTGCATTTAATCTCTCCCTTTTGTCAAGTTATGTTCTATCACGTCACGTTCCTCTTGTTGTCTCTCGGACACTACATTAGCCTTCAACTAAGTGTACTAAGTGTTATTTTTATTTCATTATGTTTTTACTGTTGTTTGTTTCCAAAATTTCTAATCTGACTGCAGTCTCTCCCCCTTATTACCAATAATTTTAAAGAGGTCCCAAATGCGTCTTCTCAAAATGCAACGCCATTCTGTACGGTTGCCTCTGTTAGTAGCCTTAAAATTTGACTTTTTAGCAAGTAATTACTTGCTATGTCCAACTTAATCGCATAAGGTAACATTATGCGATTCTTTATCTCCTTACTTTATACTATTTGTTGGCCTTCTCGTTTAATGAAATATTTTCACAATTTATAGCGCACGTATTTAAAAATAATTTATTTCTATTTTTTATAGATATCCAGGCTACGTATTCAAAAATAACATACTTAACCATAACCGTTAGTATTTCTCAGAAATAGAGGGAATTTTTTTTTTTTTTTTTTAGGAACAAGTTGTTAGATATATTTGAGGTAATTAATGTTTCGGTCTTTTCTTGTTAATTAATGTAAAAAAATTGTGGTGTCAAATAAATTTAATCAACTATTAGAAATAGTAAGTAAATGTATTAATAAAACGAAAACTTAGCCCGTACTCGTACGCCGTAGTTATTATTTATGCATATCTTATGTTGATGCTACGTAAGAGGTAAGCTCTATAGAGCAGGGGTCGGGAACCTATGGCCTATGCCTATGGCTTGCGAGCCAGATGTCTTCTTCTTCTATATCTTAAGGGCCCACGATCAATTTATTGATCATTTTGGCTCCTATGCATGTAGATGGGATTTGGAATGTTTCTGTTCCTGGTGTTGATGAGGAAATTTCACAGATTTCCAGTGCCACTTTGTGAGGGAATCATGCACTGGGGGTTTGAAGGCTTGAGGCAATAGACACAAATGTGTCTAGTGTTGTCGCCTTTGAAAGATTGTTCCAGTCCCTGATTGTCTTGGGCAGGAATGAGCAGCTCCTATACTGGCTTCTTGCTGGTATGAGCCTGAATTGCCTGTCATGGCCTCGTCGCTGTCTATGGGGGAGAGGTACGAGTTTCTGTTTAATACTGGAACAGTGGACCAGCCCATATTTAATTAGAAATGTTGCTCTATTGATGGCTGCATCTGGCTCGCAGACAAATGTTCGATTATAAAAAAAATGTTTCTTTAGACTAATGTGATTAGCAACAGCATACAAATGTTATTAAAAAGAATTCAGATACATAATTATAATTATTGCATTTTTAGTGTTGAAATTACACAAAATGCGCACATTTACTTGAATTTTTAGTTTTAAACATAATGTATGGCTCTCACACTCACAGAATTACTTTTCAAAATATGTGGTAAAGATAAAAAATTTAATTGATTGCCATTTCAATGTTCATCTATAGAGTATAAACTATTATACTCTATGACTATGACTAGAATGACTAAGACCGTCTTACATACACACTGATAAGATAACACCTATTTAAAATCCGATATTAATAATTAAATTATTAGAATTATAATTAATAAGGTATAACACACAAACTATTTTGTACTTTTTAAAAGTATGAACTATTAACTATGATTATATGGATTGAATTGATGCCCTATGCCTATAGCCTATTATTTCTATTATTATTATAATTATAGGCCTACTGTTATTATACTTCTGTGCATGGCTAAGATTAAGATTAACTTATATTACTTATTTTATTATTAGTTTGGATTATGCTCAAGTTTAAGTATCGCCTATGACTATGAGCCCTATGTTAACTATTGACTATAGATAGACTATAGACACTAGTTTAACTATAATAGTATAATAATTTAGGCTTAGGCCTTAGGCCCTATGATTTAATGGCATCATCATCTTTAACCAACTCATTATATAATTATAGTTGTAAGGAACAACTTATAATTATTTAATATAATAATAAGATTTTATTAATTTTTTTGTCAGTGTGCATTTTGGACATATCGAAATTATTATTATGAACCAGTATCATGACACATGGCCATGGATTTTTATTATATGCTTAGACTTTAAGACTTTTAGAACTTTGAAAATCTTTAGTAGCCTTTACCTTTTATGTAGTTTGCGCTTTCGTTTGTTTCAGAAGATGGCTAAAGCTGCTGAAATCACCAATTTTGGTAAGCTTTTTAAAAAAATAAATCCATTAACTATACTATGTCACTATGAATAATTATTATTTAATTTATTTTTAATGGTAAAAAATGAGTTCTTAATCTTATCAAGGCAAAACCTGTCTTAATTATGAAATTATTCGTAACACCTTCGACCTCTACTATTTTTTATAGCCTAATATTGGAAACCTCCAAGTAGGCTAACATTTCAAAATAAATTTACCTTAATAATTGTTTTAACTCAGATATTTATTCAGTAATTAATTTTATTATCAAATATATTATTTCTGCAATGCTAAATCACTGAAATTTGGACTTTTATAAATAATACCCATTATTTTCTTCAACTAGATGATAGTTTCAATAATTTCAACATAATAAAAATATTCAATTATTTTATTATACAGAGGCCTTTCCTGAGAGTGAGTTCCAGGTCAATGTGGTCTTACCTGGAGGTCAAGTTGAACTAAAGAGTGTCCACATTATGGATGAGCACGGTACAGACTTCACTGTTGCACAAGTCAGTGTATTTGGCTTGGTTTTTTTTACTTCTGTTACAATAATTCATTTGATGGGAAGTCTGGCTTTAAAATTTATTTTTTACAGTAGATCCTATCCTTGCTTACTTGGGAAAAATTTTTAATGAAAATTGTTGTTATTTGTATTTATGTTGAGCCAACTGGTCACTTTAACTTTATTCTTTTGAATCAACTAGTCACTTTACTCTGTTGAGCCAATTTGTCACTGTTGCAAGGAAACATAATTATTCACGTTTTTCATTTGACTGGGGGGAGATATTTTTGTTTGCTTCTTTCTAGCATTCTGCTAGAGCAATATCTCTCTCAGTCTCAGCCATCCAGGCATGAGATTACTGGCACTAATTGTTTGCATAATACACATGTGTTTGCATGCATGGAAAAGTTAACAGGCATATAGGCTACAAATGTAGTTTTTTTAAAAAATGGATTATGAGGGCAGCAAAGATCCATTTATCTATTGGCTTACAATAGCTTAATTATAATTAAATATGACTTGTTTCTTCATACACTAGGTCAAGGAAACCATCTTGTCAACATCTGGAATTACTAATGCAGGGGATTATGCTGCACTGTTTGTAAACTCCATTGAGAGCCGGCTCTTACCAGACAATGATCCAATAACTGACCATATCCAGTATTTAGCCTCAGGATATCAACTGGAGTTTCATCCAAAGTATGTGTCATTGTTAATGTATATAGGCCTATATATATAATTATACTTTACTTATAACTGTCAGAATCATTTTGTTACTGGTAAAGATAAAAAATTTAATTGATTGCCATTTTATATGTGATATTTAGGCTGTTTATTCTTGACTACAAATAAAGAGATTACAAATCGAGTTCGTATTATGAGGGACTGCATTCAAGCTTAAACATATCTTGTTCCAATATTTCCTCATATTAGAAGATTTCAATGTCTTGGGACAACTCTCTTAACCAGTGGCATAGCAAAGGTTGGTGTCAACCGGTGTGGTAACCTTATGGTGTGGTAAGCTCATGGTGTCACCCGGTGAGGTAAACTCATGGTGTCACCCAGTGTGGTAAACTCATGGTGTCACCCCCGACTTCCACCATGGATTTCTTCTTGTTAAAATAAGTAAACACTGACAAGAACAAAAAAAATTAATTAAAGGTCAGGAGGTAAATATTTAAGATAAGATAAGATTCTTTTATTGATCCTAATAAATGGAAATGTTTTTTGATTGCATTATACATTTTCAGTACATAAATAAAACAATTTGAACACAAGACATTTATAATAAATTATTTCAAACAGCCATTCAGTGAGTTCTCTTAGCCAAATCGAGGACTTATTAGTTCTCATTCAGATGTGTGACTTCAGAGGAAGCACACCGATAAATTCGTACAGATTGGAGAACAAAAGAATTTTTATATCTGTCAATCCTTGCCTTGATGGAAAGAATTCGTCCTGAACGGCCCGATCCTAAGTATCTGTGATGAAGAGGATGGGATTTATCATCCAAAATGTGTTTAGTTTTGCAAAAACATCTTACTTCAAATAGTTCTTCAAGTAAAGGATGTTTAGTTTGTGTTATGTGCCTAGCTTTCTTGATTAGTCGGTTTATGCGGTGTTTAATATCAGTCGTTGAATTCCCACACCAGCAGGTAATACTGAAATTTAGTAGGCTTCCAATTGTTGCACTGTAGAATAAGTTTATGACTTGCTTATTTACGTTGAAATTGTACAGTTTTTTGAGGTAGAACAGTCTTTGGTTGAATTTCTTATACAGCAATTGGCAGTGCTCATGCCATGTTAGCTTATTATTAATGGTGACACCTAAGTATTTGTATGCCTCCACTTTCTCTACACTTTGATTTTTTATGTTGAGATCTGTAATCTGGTGTTTCCCTCTCCTGAAATCAACAACCATTTCTTTAGTTTTTGAGACATTCAACTGGAGAAAATTTTCATCGCACCAATTGATAAAGCTTGTAACTAAATTGCGGTATAGGCCTTCTCCTTAGATATCTAAGTTACAACGTATCATAAAAAATGACTAAGTACCTGTAACTAATTTAATTTTTCTTATTATTATACAGACTGTGACCAAGCTGAGGATTACTGTAACTGTAACTATATCAGTAACTGGTGGAGACATGCACAGAATGAAAGTTACAAGTACAAAGTACGAGGCTGCTAATTTAAGTTTCTACACTTTTTAATTTTAAAATAAAATATATTCCTTGTTTCCAGTATTTATGCTTAATAGTCTTAGCTCCTACACTTTAAAGCATTTTTTTTTTGCATGCTTCTAAATCCAGAGTTTTTTTTTAACTCAGTTACTACACAGTAAAATTTATGAATAACATTATGCAATATACCGGTACCATAGTATAAAGTATTTTAAAGATTATTAGCTATTTTGTTTTTTTTAATTTTATTACCATTACATATGATGTATTATATTATCAGTTACTTCTTTCTTTATTTTATATTTGTGCAATATGGTGTAGGTTAAATACCTCAAAATTAACTCTCTTTTTTTTATTGATTTTATCCCATTATTTCAAGACACTACAACAAATTTGTGTGTGTGTTTTGCATAAAGGCTGAAGGTCACTGTTTTAAAAAGTCCTCACTGGTATGAAGCATATAATTCACTAGCTGGGGCAACACAACCACATTGTGCATGTAAATTACAGAAAGAGGTGCATAATCCATAATAATTATTCCAGGTGGCGCTCAAGTTGAACTAAAGTTGCTTAGTTGTATTGACCTTCATTTGCCTTTATTTTAGCTGTGGCTTGTAAATTATAAAAGAACATTTGGTAAAGATTGTGTTCTTTTTAATGCATTTTTGCATATGGTGGGGTTGGGGGAGCAGGGTATGAAAGCGCATCATGGTGCCGAATAGGGTGGACAACATCCACTCAGGAATTATAAGATTATAACCAGATTTTTAACAATTGGCCAGGTAACATCAGCCATTCATGTGCAGTTGAGCTGCAAAGACCTGGGGTATCTCAGTGTTTAAATAAGTCATCAGCTTTTATGTAATCTCACCACCTCTGCCCTCCACGAAAATTTTATAATGAAATGTCAGGTTACAAAAACATTCATGCCACCTTGGCGTACCACATTCGAAAATGAATGAGGACGGAGTTGGTTGTCCATGGTTACTTGAGTCAGTGTACCATTGTCCTCTTGTAGGGACTAAATCCTTTAAATCCTAACAGCACTTTAAATTAGTTTAAAAATATTTAAACTTCAGTGACCTCATGCTGTTCCAATTAATTCAATTATAGTGTAAGAAATTTTTAAAGTACAGTTTTTGTTCTAGGCCAAAGAATTTATTTTAATTTTATTATCTTTTTTTTTTAATTTCCTAAGTTTACCAAACACTTTCAATTGATTAAAGGGTTTTGGTAAAATGTTTTCCAGAAATGCTAAGATTGTATCTGTCTGCTATAAAGTTTTGTTGGACAAATGTAGACTACGGTATTGTTTTCATTGCTGAAAAAAATTCACTCTGCCTTACATTTACATTGTCTATAAACATTATCTATGTCTTCTCTGTTCTTATGTCATTGTCAACCACAGACTTCCTATTCTTATGTGCCATTGTCAATAACAGACTTCCTTTTTCTTATGTGACCTTAGCAAAAAATCTGAAATATGTTCAGTTATTATTTTTTTAACTGTATACCTACCAGTCTATGCCATTGCATTTTTTAAAAATTTGGTTATTGCTTAGCATGCATATCTTCATAATTCAAATATACTCTTTTGCCTTGGGAGAGTACTTTTTATCACTTTGGAAATATGTCTGCTGATTTTATTGTCAAAAGACTTGTGTCAAGGGAAATAATTCATGGCACATTTAAAGAATCAAGAGATATTATTATAGTTATAGATTTCCTGTTGTAGATGGTTCTAAAATTATCAGTTTGTAATAATAAATATTGATTAAATTTGTAATTTTCAAATTCATTTTATTTGTTTACAAGTTATTGTTATTATATACTATTATAATAAAAGAGAGTTAATTTAAGAGTTGTGTAGAGAGTTGAGTAGAGAGCTGAGTAGAGTGTTGATTTGAGTAGAGCATTGATTTTCCTAACTACAGGGAAGTTTCTGGTTAAAATTGTTCCGATAACCCAACATTCTATGGAAAGGTAGAATAAAGAAGCCAGTGCATAGAGTACAATATTTTTTACCCTTATACACATATGATGCTTTAAAAAAATGTAGATTATATCAACCATACCCCAAGGTTTACAGGGCATTGCATTGTCAAAGATTTACGCACGTTCTATAAGTATCTTAATTTTACCTGGATTGCATGACTGGGTTCTGAAATATTTTCTGGTGTTTTACACAAATGCCCCATGCCATGTATGATAATAATAATAACAAAATAGAATTGATGCTTTACTGCAGGTCTGCATAACTCAAAGTGTAAGGCGGGCCGTATGATGTGCAGGCCTGCTCTACTGTATTTCAAATTTTCATAAATAAATTGCAAGCAAATAGTTTTTTTAAAAACTAATCTTTAACATTGGAGAAAACTGACATTTAATATTTTAAAACCTGTGTGGGCTTTTAAAACAAGGACATTTTGAACTTTAAAAAAACAAAAACAATAATATCTCTTCAGTAAAAGAAGATGTCAGGCAATATTACAAAAGTTATGTGATTAGGCTTGATATTTTTTTATATTATTGGGTTGTTTTTGCGCATTCCACTTTTTAGTGTCTCTCAACCCTAAGAAAAACCACTTTGGGTATATGAAAGATATGTTTAATTACAACCAAAGATTGGTAACAATTGGCCAGGTGACTGCAGCCCTTCAGGTGGAGTCTAGTTGGAGACAGGCAATTGAGGCATCCTCAACATTGGACAGTTTTGTATAAAGCTCAAGAATTGCTAATATTAGTTTAAACTTGCTTTTATATTAAGACATGCTCAAATCATAAATAATTTCCACAACATTTTCAACAAGCTTTTCAACTTTCAAAAATTATTCAACTAATGTAGCCTGCATTCATTTTTTAAGACTATTGTAGAAGGCTCAACATCTAAAATGAATAAAAATTTGGATAATACCAGTATATAATAATAAAATACTGTATTAAGAGAATTGCATTATACATAATACAATAGTAACTAGTTAAAAGTTATAAACGTATACATTAAAATTAAAGAGACTACTTGACATGGGAAGAGAACCAATTCCACACTTTTTCCATTTCTAGCTTTCCTTCAAGACAACTGCTGAGAGCAGTAACTTAGAAAGAATGATCCATTCCTTTTTTTTTGCTCAATCAGTCATATCGGAAATGCATAAACAATTTAAATAGTTTTTAAAATTGTGAAATAATTTATCATAAAAACTTTAGTTTCAATTTTCAAGATAAATAAATAAGTCCAGTCTCAAAAAGTAATAGACTGACTTTAAAGAAATCTAATCCAATGATTAATGCAACACTGCACAGCCAGACTCAACTTATCCCATCTACAAAATCTTGCTCTAAGCCCCAATGAATTAAACCCACCATCCAGACAATTCCAGGGCTATTTTATAAATCTAAATATGTTTTATTATGGTTCTTTTTGAAGCATGTTTAGCTGCGGATTGTTTTGCTGAGTTTTGTGAAAAAAAACTTTTTACATGCCATAAAGCATATGAATGAAAGAAAACATGATAAATCCAAAAGCAAAAAAATCCTATCTGAACTATTAAACATAAACATATTTACACAGATATTGATGATGTCATTTTAATTGGATATTAAATAGCTCACAATTGACTGGCTTGGGAGGACGTTCGATTTCAGAGCTGAGAAATAAATTTGAACAAATACTTATTTGCTGAGATTGCATAATTGATAGGATCAATAATAACTATTCTCACAACCATTTATGAATTGTCAATACTGGTGGTACTCAATAGTTAAAGGCTATGTTATAAATAAATTATTAAACAATTAGTACAAAACATAATTAAAGTAAGTGTAGGATTTGTTCATATAGAAATGTTAAAAAAATGATTTGGCTAAAGCCTTGATTCTAATATGTTTTACTGATATTGTATTTCTAATTAAAATTATAACACTATACAATAAACTAATAATAAAGTAAACAGACATGAACAGCCAAATAAGAAAGAAAGTTTCATTACCTTTTCTTTCTAATCTCTATATAAGATTCTTGGCCACCTGCCAGGTCATCCATGTACCTTTCCATCAACAATTTGTCTTCCAAGATTATACGTTTGTTTGGACCAGCAAATAGAACTAATACGTACAGATTAGGATATGGGATATCTGCTCTCCGTAAAATTGCTTCTTTCTCCTGAATCCAAAACAAAATATAAATTTTGCCTTTCACTTCACTGATTCAAATAATCAATTGTCTCTAAAACAAATAAGAGAAATAATTTTGCTGTCTGCTACTACTTAGTTCACTCAAGAATTGAAATATGGTAATATTCATTATTGGTGCCTTTAACAAAATTAACAATTTTTTTATGATTTCATAGAACCATAATAGTTTTGTTAAATTTAAAAAAAAAATACCCTTACTAGCAAAAAAAACCTATTTATTACCCAGTAATAACATTATGAATTTGAGTATTATACATGATCTTTGAAGCAAACAATGAGCAGTTTAAAGTTCTTACCTCATAGACTTTATTTTCAGGATTAATGTAAGCGACCTCTTTCTTTCCAGTAGGAAGAACAACTTCTATCTTTATGTTTAAACAATCAGATTCTTTAGAAAATAAAAACCACAAAAAATAACTTGTAACTTTATGTTTAAGCTATCAGATTTTTTAGAAATAACAACATAATTCAATGTAATATACCTTGTATGACAAGAATTAAAAATGCAATATATCATAAGTGCTAGTTATTTCCTTTCTCAAGAACTTGCAATTTATGTGTCATTACTGTTTAATACTAATAGTCTTAAGTTAAAGAACATATCATTGTGAATAAAGAAATTTAAATGAAATGTAACAGTGTAATGACAATTAACCATTAACATGTAACCACGAAAGCTGAAACAGAAACATTATATGTCACACGATGACAGATGAATCATACACACTCAATTTCACACCATGACATCTGAATTATGCTACTTTTCTTGACTAAGTCTTAATCCATTGGATCAAATAGGCAAGGACGAAAGAGTGAATCATACACACAGTCTACAGCTAATAACATGTCAATCCTAACAGACACACTACATTTCACACAATGTCAACCCTAACAGACACACTACATTTCACACCATGTCAACCCAAATAGACACACTACATTTCACATCATGTCAACACAAACAGACACACTACATTTCACACCATGTCAACCCAAACAGACACACTACATTTCACACCATATTAACCCTAACAGACACACTACATTTCACACCATGTCAACCCAAACAGACAGACTACATTTCACACCATGTCAACCCAGACACACTACATTTCACACCATGTCAACCCTAACAGACACACTACATTTCACACCATGTCAACCCAAACAGACACACTACATTTCACACCATGTCAACCCTAACAGACACTACATTTCACACCATGTCAATCCTAAAAGACACATTACATTACACACTACATTTCACACCATGTCAACCCAAACAGACACACTACATTTCACACCATGTCAACCCTAACAGACACACTACATTTCACACCATGTCAACCCTAACAGACACACTACATTTCACACCATGTCAACCCAAACAGACACACTACATTTCACACCATGTCAACCCTAACAGACACTACATTTCACACCATGTCAATCCTAAAAGACACACTACATTACAAGCTACATTTCACACCATGTCAACCCAAACAGACACACTACATTTCACACCATGTCAACCCTAACAGACACACTACATTTCACACCATGTTAACCCTAACAGACACACTACATTTCAGACCATGTCAACCCTAACAGACACACTACATTTCTTACCATGACAGCTGAATAAGTCACATTTCGTGTCATACCATGTGGGCTAAATTTAACACTACATGTTACAGAATGACAGCTGAATCATACAATACATGTTACACAATGACATCTGAATCATACACAAAATGTTACACAGTAACACAATGACAGCAGAATCATGCACTACATCTTACACAATGACAGCTGAATCATGCACTAAAATTTACACCATGACGAATGACAGTTGAATTTAACACTACATGTTACACCATGACAGTTGAATCATACACTACATGTTACACAATGACAGCTGAATCATGAAATGTAACAGTGTAATGACAATTAACCATTAACATGTAACCACAATGACAGCTGAATCATACACTCCAAGGGTGAGGATTGAACTTTTCTCAAAGTCTCATGACTTTAAAATATTCCTTTTAAATTCTTCAATAAATGTCTACAATTTGTTTTAAGTTAATCAAACATCAGCTCTATAGAATTGAACATTTCTCAAATTATATATTAGATTATAATGAAAATAAAATAATAATTTTTTTTTTTTTTAAAGATAATAAGGGGGAGATAATGCAATAGGGTTGGATAAAAGGAAATGAGCAAAACAAAGCATATTGTATTTACTGATGTTTGTTAGCTAAACAAGGCTTCTTAACAATGCATTTGTTGGGTTTTTCTTGTCCTTTTTTCAGGTTTTCACATACTTTGTTTAGCTTATTTCATCTAAAATAACTAAGCAAGAATTTTGTGCTAACGTACTTGACTACTTTGCATTGAGACTATGGTTCCAACAAATCAGATCCTTAATGTCGCTGTTGGGATTTCAAAATAACATGAGAACTATTCAATTTGACATTGTAACTTTTAATTGTATACTTTTAAAAATTGTTTGAAAAACAAACTTTTGAAAGGAGGTATGATCCTGAATAAATCACAAATAATGACTTTTTTTATTATGGTACAATATTTTGGCACGCTGGTTAATGAGAACAAATATCTTCTAAGTAATTACCAGCATCAAGAAATGAAATAGATGCCATCTCTAGGTTCTATAATACCAATCAATGTGGTGCTGCGCTGTGTCACTAAGTCACCTCTGAAAATTGGATGTTAATCCACTTTATCTAAAGCCTGAAAAAAACTATGAAAAAAAATCAGAGGCATTATTTTAGTATTCCACCATGTTTTTAATACCGATAATAAGCTTTTATTAATTTAAATATTTTAAAATGTCAATGTTTATTTACTGTTTGACACAAATTAGAGTTTAGAAAAAGAAAATAATTAATGTCACCAAAATCAAGTTTCCTTTTCATGCTTACAAACTTTTAAATTTCTAAGTATGAAGTTCTTTAAAGGCAAAGTTCAAGGATGGTTTTGTTTTTTTCACTTTGGGAAATATTTGTTGAAAGCTTGGAACTACTCTGACCAGCTTCTAAACTTTGACTCATTCTGACTTTGTATTGCAAATGGCCAGGCAATTTTCACAGCAATTGGTATACAAAAAACTTTCCTCATCAACAATCCATATCCTTGGAACAGTAACATTGTTGGCCAACTGAAGGTGAGTACTATGGAACAGTAACAATGACCACATTTTTGGCCAGTTGAAGGTGAGAAGTTTGAAATTCATCAAGGAGCCTACAAGCTGTTGGTAGTAAACTTCCAATAGACACTTTCATTTTTAAAGAAAGTGTCTATTGGTGGTTTACTACCCATAGCTTCTAGTTAGCGCAGGGAGCTATTTGTAGTAAACTACCAATAACTTCTAGAGAGCTATTGTTAGTCCAGCCAATCAAATCAAACCAAAATCTGAGCTTTAAAAATCCGCTTTCAATGAGGCTGGCGAAGTATTGCCCCGTTTATTTATTACTAGTTTGTACTAGTGACAAAACCTCAGCACTAAAGATAAAATCTACAGTACTTTTTTAAAGTTTTAACACTATCTGCTGTAGCCATCCCCATGCACAGATATGGCTATAAAATTTATAAATAATATAGACCTAATTAATATAGATCTTAGATAGATGTATGATACTGGCAACTGGGGGGAAATGGTCAGGGATCATAGTCTGAAAATTTTTTACCCAGCTTCTTCTTTACCAAGCCTAAAGTAAAATGTGCAGTTAAAATTCAATCCAGCTGTAAACATTTTGTGTGTGCTAATTATTATGATTAAAATTATACATACTTGATCTGTGTGATGAACGGAGGCAGTCAAAGAAAAAAAAGGTAAATACAGAGGGGGCCATTAAATATAGGACAGTTAATCAAGGCATCAAAAAAGGTATAAAAAGGGCAAAGAAGAACTGGATTGAAGAGCAATGCTACAAAACTGAAAACTGCTTGACGAAAAACAATAGCAAAAAAACTTACCAGTTGGTGAAAGAACTAACCACTGCAAAACAAGGGCGTAGTACTACCAGACAGGATAAAAATGGTAAATGTTTGACCGAAGAAAATTATATCATCAAATGATGGACTGAATACTGTTCAGAGCTTTATAATGAAAGTATAAAGATAGACCCAGAGATCCTTAATGTCCCTCCAGCAACAGACAATGATAACTGCCCTATTCTCCACGCAGAAGTAGAAGCAGCAGTCCAAGCACTCCAAACAGAAAAGGCCGCAGGAGTGGATAATATCCCTGCCGAGTTGATGAAACGAGGAGGAGAAGCAATGATAAGTGCCCTATTCAATATTTGTAACAAAATCTGGCTTACAGGAGAATGGCCCAAACCATGGACCCAGACCCTCATCGTCACTCTCCCCAAAAAAGGTAACCTAAAGCTATGCCAAAACTATCACACAATCAGCCTAATAAGCCATCCAAGCAAGGTTATATTGAACCGACTAAAACCATATGCTGACAGAATCATTGCTGAAGAACAGGCGGGCTTCAGACAAGGACGGGGCACTACTGAGCAGATTCTAAACCTCCGAATACTATGTGAGAAATATGCTCAACACCAACAAAACCCATACCAAGTCTTTGTTGACTTCAAGAAAGCATTTGACAGGGTTTGACATGCTGCTTTATGGGCCACTATGAGGGACTACAACATCAACACAAACCTAACAAGCATGATATGCAACCTCTATGATAAGGCCACCAGTGCAGTCTTCTTCAACAACAACATAAGAAAATGGTTCAAGACCACGGTTGGAGTACGACAAGGCTTCCTGCTCTCCGTCCCCCACCCCCCTGTTCAACATCTTCCTAGAGAGAATTATGTCAGATGCTCTGGAAGCGCATGAAGGTACAGTCAGCATTGGTGGTAGAACAATCACCAACCTACGCTTTGCAGACGACATAGATGCACTGGCTGGGAACGAAGAACAGCTAGCAAATGTGGTAAAGCGTCTCGATAAGACCTCGTCGTCCTACGGCATGCTAATTAGTGCCGAAAAGACAAAACTGATGAAAAATAATACCGCAGGCATCACCACTGAAATTAAGGTCGGGGAGGAAAGATTAGAGACTGTAGGCCACTTCAAATACCTAGGAGCAATTGTCTCAGAAGAAGGCTCCAAGCCAGAACTGATGTCCAGGATTGCGCAGACTACAACAGCACTAAAGAAGCTCAAGAAAATATGGAATGACAAAAATATGGCCCCCAGCACCAAAATCAGGCTGATGCGCTTATTAGTCCTCTCCATTTTCCTGTATGCCTGCGAATCCTGGACATTAACAGCCGATCTTGAAAGGAAAATAAAGGCGATGGAGATGAGATGCTTCAGAAGCATTTTTGGGATCTGCTTCTCCAATGATACAGTGAAAGAAAGGGTTCGTCAGGCAATTGGGGAGTACGATGACCTACTGGTGATTGTGAAAAAACGCAAACTACAATGGTACGGCCACATGACAAGGAAACAAGGGCTTGCCAAAGAAATATTGCGGGGCACCACAAGAGGAGGGAGAAGAAGAGGAAGACAAAGGAAAGGTGGGAGAATAACATCAGAGAGTAGACAGGACTAACACTGGGCGATGCAGTGCGTAGTGCTGAAGACAGAGAGGAATGGAGGAGGATGGTTTACATGTCATCTGTGGCGCCCCAACGGTCCAAGCGCAAGGACTAAGGGACATGAGGATGAGGAGGAATACTAATACAGGCCTAAATAATTACCTTAAAAGAAGTTTTACTGCATACAAAGTGGGCATATTAAAAACAAAATCTTATTAATTTAGTTAAATTTAAATGAAACTGTAAAATAACGTGATTAGAACTTAAAGATTAAAAAATAAGCTTAGGCCAATCATTTTTTAGGAACATGGTCACTGGAAGCTATTGGTAGTTTACTACAAATAGCTCCCTAGAAGTAGAAGCTATTGTCTATTGCCAATTGGTAGTTTACAATACTGTAGACTGTATATAGCCACAGCCTTTTTTAAATCCCAACTGCCAACCTCTCACTCACTACTTCAACTTTCTGATACCCGGTCCGAAAGGCCACTTCGATAGTATTATTTGGCCAATAGAAATGGCAATCAAGTATTGCCATTGCCAAGGATTTGCTCAATGGCAATACTTATAGTAATAGTCTATAGTGGGTACTAACGACTTAATCTGTTTTTACCTTATTTAATTATTGACTTCAGACTTAGTAACTTAGTTTAGTAAAGTTTAGAAAAGTAAGTTACTCAATTTTTGTTTGGGTATTTCCGGTGTAACAGTAAGTTACTAAAATCCTTATTCCAAGTCGGATTCATTTTAGTTGGGTTATATGTTTACTATTCATATTAATGAAATGAATATGGACATACTTCTACACAAATTTATTTATTTTATTTTTAGAGTTCATTTAGCAAATTTTAAATTTCAACAAACAAAAAATTATAATTAAAGAAAGACTTACACCGTTTTTGTTTTGTCTAGTACAGTGGTTCTCAACCTTCTTATGGCCGCGACCCTTTAATACAATTCATCGTGTTGTGGCGACCCCCAGCCACAAAATTATTTTCGGTTATACTTCATGACTATAGAGCATATGTTTTTTCAGATCGTCTTAGGCGACCCCTGGAAAAGGTCCATGCACCCCCCAAGGGGTGGCGACCCACATATTGAGAACCGCTGGTATAGTGGCACTGGCTGGGCTACCACACCTTGGAAAATTTCCCAAGATCTTGGGAATTCACGACCCCCCTTGGGATCTGGGGAATAATTTTGAAAATAAGGCAAAACCTTGGGAAATCTTAATTGGTGGGAACATTTCTTCTTCTATATATTAAGGGCCCTTGATCAATTTATTGATCATTTTGGCTCCTATGCATGTAGAGGGGATTTGCAATGTTTCTGTGCCTGGTGTTGAGGATATTTCACTGGTTGCAAGGGATACTTTGTGAGGGTATCATACACTGGGGTTTGGAAGGCCTGAGGCAATAGTGTGTCAAGTGTTGTCGGCTCAACTGTTCCTTTTGAAAGTTTGTTCCAGTCCATGATTGTCTTTGGCAGGAATGAGCAGTTCCTATGCTGGCTTCTCGCTGGTGTGAGCCGGAATTGCCTGTCATAGCCTCATCGCTGTCTATGGGGGGAGGGACGAGTTTCTGTTTAATACTGGAACAGTGGATCAGCCCATTATTTATCTTGTACATTATGGAGAGTCTGGAAAGTCATCGTTGTTCCTCAAATGGTGACCAGCCTAGTGTTTCCAGTATGCTGCCAATACTAGAGGTATTCCTGTAGCGGTTCAGGACAAAGCGTGCTGCCCATTGCTAGACTGCCCCCAACCTTTTATTATATTTTTCGAAAAAACGCAACAATATGTGATAAAAAATGAATTGAAAATAAAGCAAAATTAATTGTTTTAATTTTCTTTTCTGGTTTTAAATTTTAAATCCACTCATCAAATAAATAAAAACTCTTCTGATATTAAAGTTATTATTATTGCGAATTGTTACAAAGTTAATAATTAAAGAAAAATTCAATTATCTCTTCTATTTTAAAAAAAAATTGAAGATTTACAAATTACATCCAGGTTTTGACTGTTTATTAAAAGGGGGGGGGGGGTTAGGCTCGGAAACTTTATCATTAGGCTATTTATTAGACATTAGCAACCATACGAAAAACAGTATAAGCCGAAGAGTGAACGATAGTAGTGTTCAATCAAGGATCCATGCCATAGTAAAATTTGATTATTTCAATTACTCATACAATGTATTCAAAATATAATGCATCTGTAAAAAATCCAGCCTAATTTTCATCAATTGGAAAAAAATATTTGTGGATTGAAACACAGGTAACTAAGACATTAAAAATATTATAGGCCTACGTTGTAGGATTATAAATGAACCATACATTTAAAAGTATGTTATTTTGTTGAAAAATCGTTATAATATAAATTTACAAGAAAAAAAATAAAAATACTTATTGTTTTCATAATAATATCAATCCATTTTAACTACAATTATTATTAATAAATTTTGCTTCATTGCTTTGCAAACCCCACTTCTAATCAACAGACTTACAATAAGAAAAATCATTTTTTGATGAAGAACCTTTTGCCCTTGTAAAAGGAATTCTGTGTTNCCCCCCCCCCCCCTGGATTGATTGGATAAAAAATTTTTAGACAAAATTAGACAAAAAATTTATTAAAATAAAGAGAAAATAAAGAGAAAGTAACTAAGCTGATGTTATGCCCGTTTGTTCACCATAAAAATACGCTACAGTAAATTAAAACTATATTAAAACATTACTAAAAATTGTTTGCCGCCCCCCAGGAAAGTTAATTAATTTTTTTTGCCCCCCCCCCCAGAAAGTTTTCTGCGGGCGCCCATGTGCCCTTGTAAAAGGAATTAGCCTTGTAAGCTTTGTTTCCAAGTGACTTCTATTACACATGATGATATTTTTACCAGAGAATTCGGAGGTAATATTTAGTAGCCTAACTTCAGTGGGTGTTGATATTTTGGATTATAAATTATTTTTTAAAAAACAAATTGTATGTTTCTTTTATGTGATAAACATTTTTTAAAATGTCTTTTTCAATAAATTTCAAACAATTAATGTACCATGTTTTTCAGGGGCATTAATTCAATCTATTATTACATTAATTACATAGAAAACCCCTTTTTTTTAAAACTCTTATATATTTTTATGATCTTGGGAAATCTTGGGAAATTTGTTCACCAAATCTTGGGAAATTTTAAAAATGTGAGTGGCAGCCCTGACGGCACTGGTGGAATTTCCGATTCTAAACTTAAATTCTTGGCTCCGTTTATTTGAGAATTTTCTAATATTACTTGGAAATAAATAAAATGGACGACTGTGAATGTGGAGGTGATCTCGGTAAGTTAAATACATGTAATGAGAAAGTAAAAAGAAAAACCTAAAACTTTAATTGTAATTAGAAATTTGGCAATCCTCCGAAGTCCGGTCCCAAATTATTTCGTATGAAAAAAATTGCAATGCACACTAGTAGTACAGTCACAGTGTCTATTGTTAGAAAACAGCAGAAATGTCTGTCACAGCTTTTGATTTTACAAATAACTGTCACCTTACAAACCAGTCAGTAAACATTAAATATTGTATTTGTAATTGGCACATAACATTTGCAAATAGCAGCCGAAAACGTTCTGCTTGTGACTGTTGCGCCACTGAAGGCTCCAAGTAGCTGGCAAACAGACAGCGACTAGTACCAAACTGACAACAGAGTTTACGTTTCGCTTTCATTAAAGTCCTTCAATAATTTATGTGTGAATTTCCTGGTCTACTGGATCAACAATTTCAATAGCGTGCACAATGATAGCGTGAGCATAAATCCCGTTGTCGTTGAGCTGAGTGATATTTTGATATCCTCGTCAAGCGTCTATGACGATAGCTGTCCCTGGTAACACATGATTAGTGATAATGCGCTCGAGTGTTTGTGCATCTTGACGGCCGACAACCTCCATCCAACATCGTCCACTGCCGCAAACATGAATTTCAAAACATAATGATGCCCAAGACTTTTATTAAGTAAGGAGTAATAATTGGAAATAATTGGGACCGGACTTCGGAGGATTGCCTAGAACTTTAATTGTTCCTAGCATACATAAATGACCTACCCGAGAAACTGACATTGACATCCCAAGCAAGACTGTTCGCTGTACACAGCAGTGTATAGTATAATAATAATAATAATAAAGTGTATTTCAAAAACACGCTTCATCCCCAAAGGCTCGAAGCGCTGTACAAGAGTAAAAAAAATAAAATAAAAATCTATAATTTAGCACACTACAAAAACTAATTACAAGCATACAATGTCAAAGTCTTTCTACCCATTTCAACCCTGAGCAACACAGCTAATATGCATTAAATGGAAAATATGGTAGACAATCATCCCAGAAGGTGTTTGCGAAATAAATGTGTATAGTATAGTATAGGACGATCGCCAACAGATCTGACCAGTACCAGCTACAACAGGATCTCAATCTGTTAGCTGAGTGGGAGATGAGCTGGGACATGGAATTTTACCCTGCCAAGTGCCAGACACTATCAGTCTCTAGAAGTTGTACTCCTCTATACTACCAATACGAACTGCGTGGCCATATACTTTAGTCAAGTCCTAGTTTCCTCCGTAAAATACCTGGGTGTTACCATGCAAAGAGAGGTCCCTGGGATGAGCATATTAACAATGTATGTAACCAAGCAAACAAGACCCTGGGGTTCTTAAGGCGTAATCTTAAGATTGGCAACTCCTGTGTGAAAGAAAGAGCATATAAAGACTTTTTCCATCCTGTTTTAGATTATGCATCTTCAGTCTGGGTCCCATTTACCCAGAAAAGCATTGACAGGTTGAAGGCAGTCCAGCGACAGGCAGCATGCTTAGTCCTGAACCGCTACAGGAATACCTCTAGTGTTGGCAGCATGCTGGAAACACTAGGCTGGAGGAACGACGACGACAATCCAGGCTCTCCATTGCTGGCATCCGTCCGTCACAATGTGACGATGGAGTGGGCTTCGGAGGACGAAATCCACATGGCCTGGGATTAATCTTCAAGGATTATAAACTGGTTCCCAACAGCAAATCGCCTCTCTCCACGCCGCTGGATAGCCCAAGGGAACATCATTGGATGATACAGCTTAGCACCAGTGACGTCGCATGAGTTGTCGGAATGTTTCATTGTATCAATGTTATCCGCCTTTCGGGACCCCATCACCGGGTTTGATTTCAGAGTTTCCTTCTCTTAGATGAGTTGCCATCCAAGGCTAACGAGTCCCATCCACCCGGGGTGCTGGTGGTGTTTTTGCTTGACTAGGCTATGGCTGGAATTGAACTCCAGACCACCAGCTTGAGATATGCTCAGTTTAGTCCACTTCTCCATGATGTACAAGATAAATAATGGGCTGGTCCACTGCTCCAGCAATAAACAGAAACTCGTCCCTCTCCCCAATAGACAGCGACGAGGCCATGACAGGCAATTCCGTCTCATACCAGCAAGAAGCCAGTATAGGAACTGCTCATTCCTGCCCAAGACAATCAGGGACTGGAACAAGCTTTCAAAATGAACAGTTGAGGGGACAACTCTAGACACATTTGCGTCTATTGCCTCAAGCCTTCCAACCCCCAGTGCATGATTCCCTCACAAAGTAGCACTTGCAATCAGTAAAATATCCTCATCAACACCAGGCACAGAAACGTTGCAAATCCCCTCTACATGCATAGGAGCCAAAATGATCAA